GCAGCTAAGGCTTAGGGAAAGTGTAAAAAGAGGAGCTAGAATTTTATTTCTGATTTGTTTTAACTTAAACTCATCTTATTTCCACTAGACTAAGTTAAATTCATGTAAATTGAAAACAAATGTATTTTTTCCTCTTGTATTCACCATATTCGTACAATGAGCTATAAAATAAATCTGATTTGAGGAGGTTGAGCGGACACTGGTTGACAACTTCTTTTGGAATCTGGCAAAAAGGTTACTAATCTAAAAGATGGCGATAACTGGAAACCCTAGTGCCTTGCGTAACTTTTAGTCTAGTCTGAGATGGTGGATTACAACCACAGATATGGTAGAGGGAAAAGCAAAAGCCAAATAGTACTGACGTCCAAGTCCATCATCCTAATCCAATTTCCAAGGTACCCTTTGAAGTCACTATTATTATATTCCCTGTTTTCTAAAAGATTTTCATCATAAAAGAAAATTGGGAACAGAAAGATAAGAAGTTGGTCCAGGGTCCTAAAGCTGTTGTGGATTAGAATCCCAAATTTGTTAGGCGAGGACAGTAACTCCAAAGCACAGTAGAAAGCCTTTGTATGTGCTCTGCTGTGTAATTATCAATTCATTGTCTAACTTTCAAGCAGCTTTCACTTCAGGAGATGGCTTTAAAAATAAAGCTATATGAATATTGTAGCTACTTCATTAGTGTGATAGAGGGACAGCGAGAACAGCCCTGAGAGGCAGGCCAGAAACAGGGCTGCCTGCTAAAGTGTGAGCACAGGGAATAAATCCTCAAATACTTCTCATGTTTGAGGGAAAATAATATGTTAAGATTTTAAAACCTAGCTGGGCACAGTGGTGTACACCTGTAATCCCAGCATTCTGGGAGGCTGAGGCAGGAGGATCACAAATTCAAGACCTTGTCTCAAAATAAAAAATAAAAATTTTTAAAGGCTGGGTATAACTCAATGCAACAGCCCCGGGTTCCATTCCTAATACTTAAAAAAAAAAACACTAATTAAAACTTAAGAATGTGAGAATTTTGATTTTTTAAAAACATGAAATAAAGTAAACCCTCAGTTGGCTGGCATATAATTAAAGATCAGTAAATAATGACCTTTATATGTGAAAATCATTTGCTATCTTCAGCATGAGTTTTTTTCACAACTTGTAATATAGACATGTTGAGGGCACACAAAGGTTTATTGAAGGTTAATGAGATGTAGCTCTGAGTCAGCTCTGTTTTTGGCGATACACCAATATGAGGAAAAGTCTTCCTAAAATAAAACTGCTCACTGCCACAGACTTAGTCTTGAGTCTGGATCATTCAGCTGTTTGCCATGATCCTTGTCTTAAAAATCCAGACCAAATCTAGGAAATTCTTTATATGCATTTATTGCCTTCCATATCCATTGGTCTTTTACTACATGTTGAGCATCCCTAATCTGAAAATGTAGATTTTGGAGCCTTTCAAATTTTGGATTTTCAGGCTAGGGATGCTTAACTAGTAAGGCCTATGAATTGAAAAAACTCTGCAATCTGAAATGCTTCTGGTTGCAAGCATTTTGGATAAGGGATATTCAAACTGTATAAACAATTTTAGTGATTTCCTTTTCATTCTTTGAGAGACTGTAATATATATCAGTTCAAAATACTGCTAAAGGATGCTCTATATAGGCCACTTCTTCTGCTTGCATTCTTCTTCATCCTCTGGCCATGTTAGGAGGAAGAAAAGTGGCAGCTCTTTCTCTCTCTTCCTTCCTTCCTTCTTTCCTTCTTTCCTTCCTTCCTTCTTTCCTTCTTTCCTTCCTTCCTTCCTCCCTTCCTTCCTTATCCTCCTCCTTCCACCTCCTGAGTAGCTGTGCCTACAGTCACACCTGACATTTTTTCTTTTTAATATAATGCACTTAATATGCCAATAACATGCTAGCTGTACATAAAAGGTGTTCGATGATTATTGCCTAGGGAATGAAAGAACAAGCAACTCCTTGGATTTTTAAAGTCATTCCTAGCTCCATCTCTCTAATTACTAACCTTCTAATTTTCCCAAAAGCTCTTATAACTCAATCCACAGGAATGTATAATTTTACAGATTGAATTCTATTTTTGTTGCGATTTGACATTCCACCTTCTTCATTAAGTACTTATATAATTTATCCCTCAACTTCATCGAAATCCTTCATGACCACAGCTTTCCTATAGCCTCCTAAAGTTAGTGCAGAATCTTCTCAAGCTCCTACAAAAGGAGAGTTTGATGGAGACTGTATTTCCATCCCTTAATCCTAGTTGGTGCTCTCAAGCAGGGAGAAGCCTGCACAGTGAGCTCTCAACAACACTGGCTGAGAAGCCAAAGAGGTGGTCTAACTTCTGGTTTCCTTACCAGAAATGTGGAAATGGGAGCTCAGAACTTGGGGTTTGCCTTCTCCTCCTATAAATCCCTTGAAGAGAGATCAGAGCCTCATTTAAATAGGATCAGCTTTAAAGTTGTGATATGTAGCTCAAATACCTTTGACATTCTATGTACTCATAAAGTAGAGGAACTATGTTTGTGTGTGTATTATCTTATATTGTGCTAATCCCACAGAGCCAAGTTTTCCTCCAACATTTAAATTGTACTAGATGGAAGTTGTTGATTTGCATTTGGTGCAAAGTTTATATGCTTTTGTTTGTGACGAATATTTATAGCTGAATTCACCTGTTTGATGTTGCATGGTCTAATGGTAGTGCAATAAACCATCATTTTTGAACAATGTTACCACATTTTATTGATGGAGACTATTTAAATTTGGAGATTTGGGTTCTAATTAACAGTTGTGTGATGGTCAAGTTATCAAATGCAACTTGTCTTCTCAAAAATACCACTTTTTCCTTTTCTTAACCAAAATGGGTTTTACTTGAATCCATTGACTCTAAAGGTACAGCCAATGGGGTCTTGGCACCCACACAAGACTTTATCTGAGATTGTATAATTAACCCCAGGTTCTAATAAAATTACAATAAACTTTAATTAACTGACCATGTACTAGTTCCCATTCATCCAACTTTGGTTCACCTAACATCAACTTCCATTCTCCTTGAATCCTGCCCTGGCACCTCTTCCAGCCCTGTGTTATGGGATCACGTCAGTCATGCCTCAAATGATTGCCACACCTGTCACTTTTCAACACGTTGCTTAACAACTCAAAGATATTTATGTGATAAAAAAGGAGTTTAAGAAATAAAACAAATGAGTGCTTTACATTGTCATCCTCTTCCCATGCTAAACATGAGTCTTTGTTGTACTGTGACACCTGATGGGACTGCGTGGGAAATTAACTTCGAAGCCTCCAAGTGTACTGCAAGCATAGCTATTGCAGAGCTCACAAACAGAAGAGTGCTGCACAGACCAAATTAAGATGTTCAAGTCACGTGATTTCATGAATCCATATAGAAGGCACAGTGAGGAAAAGAACTGAAGTGAGACAGGTCAGGTCAGCACACCAACATGGAAGGTCCTCACCACCTAAACCCAGGGGCCGCCATGCCACACATCCAGTTTCCCTAATAGATCGGTGATCAGATGACAGTTGAGAGGATGGAAGGGCTCAGCAGGTGCTTAGGAACTAGCAGAATAGGCCCTCATGGGCCTTTGACCTGGTTTTAACAAGAGAAAATTGTTGACAATGTTGTTCTACCCAACTCATGCCCCAGGGATACCACACCCCAGGGATCCCACACTCCAGCGATCCCCAACTTCAGATTATTTTGAAGTGAATTCTAGACATTCATAAAGGAGACACTGTAGTATGCAACCCAAGAAGATAAATTCTTCTTGGTTAAGCATAACCAAAATGCATACCATGTCATCACCTAGAAACAATTAATGAGTTTGCTCATGTCATTTTAAATCAATTCAGTGTCTAAATTTACTATTTATGCCAGAAATCCTTGAGAAAATTATCCCATCTGTTGATGGCCATGTGCCATCAAATAGACGAGTTTATCCCAGAAGGGAAATTTCTGGGTAATGTTTATCTTTAGCATTTTTTAAACATGCTACATTGTTGTCCAAGGAAGCGGCATCAATTTTACATAGCACCAGCAAGAAAGATTCCCCTATGCATCCTGGACAATACTTGATATTATCAGATTTTAAACTGTTTCCAATCTTATGAGTATAAAAAGAATATCATGGACTTAAGTTTTCTCATCTTGATTAGTAAAGAAAATCTTTTTAAGTGTCTAATTGACTCTTTGTAAAAAAAAAAAAAACAAAAAGAAATTGAATTATAGGAGTTTTTTAAAATGTTGATGCTAATCATTTGTCTGCTTTCCAAGTACCAAAACATTGTCCCACTTAGTGACTACTCTTTTCACTTTATTGATGATGTCCTATTGTGGACAGAGATTTCCCGTTTTAATACAATCTAATTTGTTACATTTTTCTTTCTTTTTTAAGCTCATTGAGCCTTTGTGAGCTTTTTGGTTATTAAAATTTTATTTTTATTAGTACATGTTTGTAGTACATAATGGTTACATTCATTGTGGGGAGTTGGAGGTGTACATAACACACATTATTCTTTTTATTTCTCTTTCCCTCCTCTTCCTTCCCTCCATCACTTGCTCTTCTCATTTGCAAAAGATCTCACCATTTCCTCTCCCCAAGCCAGTCTCTTTTATCCTTACAGTTGTCTACCTCTGCCTTTTTACCTGCAGGCCTGGAGCTTACTTGGAACTGATTTTTTTTTTGTTTTGTTTTTTTGGTACCGGGGATCGAACTCAGGACCTTGCACTTGTGAGGCAGGTAGCAGAACCACTGAGCTAAATCCCTGGCCCACTTGGAACTGATTTTTGTGCATAGAATGAGATAGAGATCCTTATTCTATGTGGAAAACCAACATCCAAACATCCTTTATTGAATCAGTCATTGTTTCACCAAAGACTGGCAATCAATCTGCCATAAACCAAGTTTCCATTATGCCTCTGATTTGCAGCTATCAGTATCCAAACTCTTTATTCTAATCCATTGGTGTGTTTATGTACCACTCCACCAGTAAAGCACTTCTTTGTTAGATAGCTTTAAATTTGGACTAATGTCTTGCAGGACAGCCCCCATCACTGGCTATTTTCTGTTTCCAGTGTGTATTATATTCTACAGCTGTATGTTTTTCTATATAAATAACAATTAGCATTCAAGTGCTGTGAAACATTTTTAAGATGGCATTAAATCTAAAACCACACTTGGGAGAACTGATCTCTTTTAAGTGTACAGTGTTACCATGAGCATTATGCCTCCATTTACATGGTTCTTTTAAAATATCTTTTAATAATGTTTTGTAAGTTTCTCCATGAAGGGGTTGGCTTGCATAGCTTTTTCCAAAATTTATTTCTAAATAATTGATTTTTATTGCTATCATAAGTGATATCTTTAAAAAAAAATTCTTTTTCATGGTACTGGAGGTTGAACCCAGGACATTCACATTGAGCTCCACCCTCAGCCCTTTTTAATTCTTTATTTTGAGATGGGGTCTCACAAATTTACTAAATCACCCCTCAGCCTCTCAGAGTGCTGGGATTACAGGTATGTGCCACCACGTCCAATTTATCATTTCTGTCTGAACACTTTATAAACTCTTACTACAAAGCAAACGTTAGAAGTACCCACCAACCAGATTTCAAAAATAGCCCATTTCCAACACCCCAGAAGTCCTCTTCCCAACCACACACTGGTGTGGTTAACTATTTTCCCCTCTTTAAAAGGTCCCTCTTTTAAAGTTAAATCTTTTAAAGTTAACTATTTTCCAGGAATTTAGAATTACTTCTTTACTTGGCTATATTCCTTTACTAGCTAAATTACATCCCTAAACTAAATAGTCTAATTTTGCTCTCTTTGAACCTTGTATAAAATCATAGAATTAATTTTGTTGCATCCAAGTGGTCCTGTTGAACACGTGGCTGTGCAATCTGAGTGTCCCTAGAGTTGCTACATGTAGCAAGTTTGTTCACTTTCACTATTGCATAGAATTTCATTGCTTTGCTTTTCCACAACATATTTTGTTGTTGTTCTACTTTTGATGGACATTTGGGTTGTTTCTAGTTTGAGGCAGTTATACATAGTACTGCTATGATACTTTTTTCTTGGTGTATATGAGAGGTTTGCTAGGGTTATATTTAACAGTAGAATCAGTCTCAGGGGTTCACTGGTTCAAGACAGAAGATAATGATAGTGCTTTCCAAAGTAGTTGCTCCACACCTTTTGTTGGACTTGGTATTGTCTTTTTTAATTTTAGTTATTCTGGTCAGTATGGTGGTGTCACTTTGATTTTAATTTGCAGTTCTGATCAGTAACATCATTAATTCATTGGCCATTTATCATCCTTTTTAAATTTCCTGCTCGAACCTTCTGTCTTTCTTTATTGAATTGTCTGTTTTTATATTATTTATTTGTAGGAGTTCTCTATTTAAAAGACAATTTTCCATCTTTTGCAAACTTCATAGCTCTCATAAATTTGTCTTCCTTACTACCTGGATCAAACTCTCAGTAAAATATGGAGTAGAAATGAAAAAAGATGATCATTCTCGTGTTATTCCCAGTCTCAAAAGAAAAGGGTTAAATATTTTACCACTAAGTATATTAAATTTTACATTTGTATATATTATCAGATTAAAGAATTCCTCTCCTATTCATAATTTGCTATTATTTTTCCACTGAGCAGAAGTTACTGAAATGTACCTAGATATTACTAGGTTCACTTTGCTAATCCTTTTAAGAATTTTGCAACTATGTTTCTGAGTGTGACTGCCCTGTATTGTTCTTCACTGTAATAAATGTCCCTGCTCTGGTTTTGCTATTGAGGTTATTCTGCCTTCACGAAAAAATGTTGGGGAACATGGCCTTTTTTCCTATTTTCTGAGAGAGTTTGTATATAAATCATGACATTATTTCTTCCTTAACTATTTGAAGAAGTTGCCAGTGGAATCATTTGGGGCTAGAATTTTCTTTGTGGGAAGGTTTTTAATTTTGGATTTGATTTATTTAACAGTTGTAGGATTGCTTAGGCTTTCCATTTCTTCTCCAGGACTTGCTCATAGCTTCTACTGTAGTGATGCCTATATTTCTGGGTATTATTTCTTCGTGAACACTCTGCCTCATCTCTCTGGCTTGAGGAACTTCACTTCATATTTGGTGCTGTTCTTTGTACTCATTACATTACTGATTCTTTGGTCTCCCTAAAGCTGAGGATTGGTGTTTTTCATCAACTGAGAAAATTATTTTCCTCCTCCCCATCCTCTCCACTATTGCTGTTGAAACTGTTGGCTCCTGGTGGACATTCCACTCCGGCCTTCTTGTCTCTCAGCCCCCCTCACTTTGCTTCTCCATGCTGGCCTTTAAGTCACTTTTTTAGACCTCTCTAATTCACAGATTCTATCTTTAATTATCCCTACTTTACTTTCAACCCACTCATTAAATATTTATTTTCATATATTATATTTTTCTGCTCTACAGTTTCTATTTCATTCTTTTTCAAACACTCTCAATTCATTTACCAAGCTTCCTATTCCTTACTCATAATTTAAAACTTCATTTTAAGTTTATTTAGCCATGTTAATCTTGCTTATTAAATCTTCTGTGCCTATAATCTTCATTATCTGGCTATGTTGTGAGTCTTATCTTGCTGACACCTGTTTCTACTGGTCTTTCTTCATGGTTCTAGGTTTCCAAATAAAGTTTTCACATTTATAAGGAAGATATTATTACAGCACTTAAATATCCATTGATTCACTTGATGGCATCATCATTGTTTATCATGACTTTGAATTTTTTAAAAAATTGCCATTTCCTCATTTGTTTGGGAGTATCAACATTTCTTCATCCTTCCCATTTTGGTCATTCTTCATCCACATAGTTAATCCAATATTGGCTTCTTGTCTTAGCCTCCTAGAACAAATATTAAAAATAAATAAATATATATAAATATATACCCATATGAATATACTACCACTACCTCTTTTAACACTATCCTCTGGCCATTTGTGCCTCCTCATCAGGAAACTTAGAAATAATTCATTCCCCTCTAACTCCTGCCATTACCCCTGGAACTCCTATACGTCTCCAATTCCTATATCCCTGGAATTCCTATACCTCTGGGGTAATGGCCCATATGACATCCTGGGAAATATTGTACCTGCTCTGGCCATGCCCCCATCCTTCTAGCATTTCCTACAACCTGACTCTTGCTCTCATGTGTCCTTTGACTTCATACAGAACATCAGCCACCACCCTAGTTGAGACAGGACGGACGCCTACCACAACACGATGGGTCAGGCTCATGTGCTCCAAGGTCAGGGGTGTGGGGGTGTCAGGTACTGCAGTCATCCTGGGAGGATCAGGTTCACTCAAGTGCTTGGGAAGTTTAAGCCTAAGGGAAGAGAGGAGAGACTTCCTTTAAAAGTTGTATTTAAATTGTTTTTCTATAAAAATTTAAACTCAAAATTGTATTAATATTAATGCATATGTTTTTCTGCAAATATAAGGTTCTTTTCTACCTCATGCCTACTTCATAGCATTGCTTTGGGGATCACAGACCTCTGTAAGAATCTAATTTTCTTTTTTTTGGTACCAGAGATCGAACTCGGGTCCTTGTACTTGCGCAGCAGGCGGCAAAACCACTGAGCTAAATTCCCAGCCCTAGAATCTAATTTTTTAAAAAAACTACTATAAATCCCCTCTCCAAGAAACTCAGATGTACATAATCATGTAGAATACATTTTAAGGGGTTTGCACCTTCTCAAGTTTATGAATTGTAAGCAGCTCAGTCTACTGTAAGTTTGCCAACTGATATCCAGACTCAGTAGGCTCTCTGAAGACTATTTTCCTTATGAATTTTGCATGAAACATACATTTATTGATATCCCTAACTCCTTCCTGATTATTTAAATCCATGCATTTTAGTTCATACTGGAAATTTTCACTGTAAGGGAAACAGATAAAATTTGGATTAGCATTTTGTACTTAACAATTTCTACTTTAGAGGGTGTTTTGAATGTCACAGATTCTGGCTAAATAAGACAAATATGCTTCTAGCAAGATACACTTATCTTTACCAAAACTAATTATCAGAGATTTGTTAACAAATCACTATTGACAAGGATATGTGTGGGTCAGTGTGTGTATTTCTTTGTATGTCTGTGTGTCCATGCCCTTATATATAATCTGTCCTGCAATTTGCTTAAAAACTAAAACTAGTGACTCCTGAATTTTCACCTACTATATGTGTTGAAAGTTAATGTCTGAAAGGAAAAATTATGAGAAATGAAAAAAAGGAAACAAAGTCTTTATAAATAGGGAAGGGTGGAGGAGGTGAAGGGAGGGCAGGGAATGGGGAAAAAAATAAGAACCAAGGTACATCACGTAAAGGTACAAGTTCCCAGTGATAAATGTAAATGTATTGTGTACCTAAAATGTATCAATAAAAGAATTTAAAGGAAAAAAAAAGAAAGTTAATGTCTGAAAACATCTTAAGTGGATGGAATTTGGGGCTAACCTGGAGACAAGAACTAAAAGACAACTTCCCGTACAAAATTTAGGTAAAGGAGTCAAATGATTCTGTCCTTCCTCAGTTATGGTGCTACACAGGGTGCCAATAAGAATAGCATCTAGGTCATTTCTGACCTAGCTCTGGAAGGGAAAGAAACTTCTACCCCCTTATCATTCTTTGCCTGCATCTGCATCAGGGTGGGGAGCGCCCCACAGTTGAACTCCTGTGCTTGCCAGTAATACCCGTCTGGTGTTAAGCTACATCTTTACGATCAGAGAGCATGATTGCTACATTTTTAGGTACAAAGCAATTCAATCAAAATATTAATACTCTTCATTTCACACAATCTGGAAAGAACTCAAAAAAGAAAAGCAGATGTTGATAAGGCACCAAAGTAACAAAAGCCTGAACATCAATGTCTTGTTTGAAGGCTTTACCAAGCCTCATCAGACTGGACTCCAGTTATCACTGTCCGTCCCACATGCCCTGCAAGTAGCATCAGAGGACAGGCTGCAATTGGATTTTCCCTGGTTGGAGGCAGGCTCAGAAAATTACACAGCTTTTGGTCATTTTTGACACCCCCTAGCTGAGTAAACCCCAAACTGAGGCTTCCCGTGTTTTGCTGTCTTACACAAGTGTCTGGCTCCTGGGAAGGCAATGGGTTCTAAGAGAGCCAGAGTGGCATTGTGTCAAACCCAGGAAGGTGCATGTGCTGGACTTGCTGAGTGAGCAAAACGTCCTGGGCCAAGAATCCAGCACTCCGGGCACTCCTACCATGGGTAGCATTCCCTTGTTTAAATGACCAGGCAGAGCCTCCCACAGCTCCAGAGGTGGTGTTATGTTCACCATGCACTCAAAAAGCCAGTAGTCCAGCATCCTGAGCACATGGCATTGAGGGAAACCAGGGTTCACCCAGCTGTCAGTCACTAGTGACTGCTTGCCCTTGCAGAGGTGAATAGAAGCTCACTGGTCCTTTCATTCCAGGGAAACTGTACTCTGCTGTGCACTGGCGACTGCACTAGAAGCAGGAGAAGCCTTAAAGTGTGTGCAATCCTGTCTTCACAGGGTCCCCACATCAGTGGAGGATGGCAGGAGGCAGGAGACGATAGGTTACCACTTGTGGGCTCTGGGAAGCAAAGGCTAAAGCTGTAGGATCACAGAGCTGGGTACCTGCCCACCTCGGGGACTAGAAAGGGTCCTTGGAGATAGTAGTATGGGGCCAGCTGAGTCCTACAGAGGGATCCTGCCAGGCAAATCCCAAATTCAGGTTTCTAAGTTCTCAATTCCATTTACCCCTCCACAGCCAAACTCTTCTCAGTTTTCTCAGTGTCATTTTTTTGTTTGTTTGCATTTTGCAAACATTTTTCTCTTATGGCTGCTTTTTGTGTCTTTGACTACTCACATGCCATGCAGGGCCACTTGGTGTCCTCCTGTTTTGGGGTGGGAATCTCTCCATGCATGTCCTGAGCTCCAGCATTTCAAGAAGGTGAGGGCAAGCTGTGCCCGAGGCCGCTGACTGCCAGGCAGTGGGTCTCGTGTCTCTGTCTCCTTGGGTGTGACTTCTTTCTGCTCTCTGTGTCCATCTGGGACCATGTAACCCACCTTTCAGAAGCAAAGAATATTTTCCATGTTTCGTTGTCATTTTTATTACATTCTAAATATGAGAAATAATTGTTCAAAACAGAATTTGGGAAATTTGGATGAGCACTAATCATTAAAATGGGAATTTAGTCATACTTAGGAATTTTTATTACCTAACACACACTATTCTAGAAAAAGAGGTCCTCCTTGCTGAGAAGGACCACCCAGACCCCTATTGTGCTGCATGAAGCCAGCCCCCAGCTCACCTGTCGAAAATGGAGACAATCAGGAGAAGAGCAGAAAGTGAGACCAAAGAGAGGGAGAGGGGTCATTTGGGCTTCATTCTGTCTTTAAGTTTGACTAAAGATTCGATTTTTATGTTTTAATTTATTTATTTATTTTTTGGTACTGGGGATCGAACTTGGGACCTTGCACTTGCGAGGCAGACAGTGGAAACACTGAGCTAAATCCCTGGCCCAGATTTTTATTTCATTACAATCCAAATGGACCTCTCCATCCCTTGGTCATCACTACAGCAAGATCCTGAATTACAGCTCAACCAGATGGACTGGATCCTCACCCTTACCCTACAGTAGCTGCTGCCTACTGGTAGCTTCCGGCAGCATAAAGAACTCCAAGGATAAAATCTGATGTGTGCAGTGCAGAGAGACACCTTGAGTCCCATCCCAGCTCCTCTAGGCCTCCCTCAGACCTCCCCCATCTGTCCAGGGCAGGACAGAGTCGTGAGTCGCTTGTGCTGCCTCTAGACCAAGAGGACACTGACCAGACCTCCAGCTCTGCCCACAGCATGCACATCTGCGAAGCGGCCGTCCTTCTCCAGCAGCCTGCTCGGGTGGCACCAAACAGAGAAAAGCAAACACAGAGGCAGCCGTGAGGCCCAGCGCCCCTTGAGTACACAGTGGCTGCTGTTCCAGGGGCTGGAGCTCATCCCTGAAGGGGCCATGGTGACATGATGGTGACAAGTCTCGCTGGCTCTTCTGCAGCCTGCAGTTACAGATGAGCCTTTTGGAACCACCCAGGGTTGGAGCCAAAGACTGGGCTTTCCTTTACTCTTACTACTATGGTTGTGGTCATGAATGCTCTTTCCTGGTGGTACAAGCCTGTTTGGAACCTCAGTGTGTGACAATAGTGTGCAAACATACACCTTAGGGACACGCTTACAGGGTGAAAGCACTGCCAGCATGCAGAGGCTCTTGCCTCTCTGTGTGAGTGAAGACGTGGCACTGGGCACACAGTGCCCCTTCACCTCCATCCTGGGGACAGGGGCCATGAGAATGTATGTATCTGATGGAATTTCCTTAGGCCAGCCTGGAGCCCAGGGGACCTTGGGTTACTCCTGGCCCTGTCCCAGGCCAAAGTTGACTTCCTGATCTCAATCTCAAGAAAGGCCCTCTGCTGATGGCGGGCAGTGACATCTTTCTCTGTTTGTTTCACTGGGTTCTCATAACAGTGCTTCGAGAACATACAGTGATTATGCTGTATTTTGGGGGTCATGGGCTCTAGAGCCCATTGCTTCCCAGCTGCCCAGTGGAGTGTGGGAAAGGCCCCTGGGATCATCTTCCTTCCTTTCCACCTCCAAGGCAAAGCTGCACAGGGTGAGCCTCCCACCAGCCACCTGCAACTCAGCTGAGCCTGACAGCCCAATCCTGGGGGCCATGGACTGAGCTGGGGGGCAGCCTGAGACAAAGGCAAAGCAAGTCCCTCTCCAGCTGGGACAGGACAGGTGCCATTTGTCTTCGTACACATGACACAGCAAACACTGAGGTAGAAGCAAACACGCAGTCTTTTATCAACTTCGGAAACAGCTGTTTGACAAATTGCTTTCTTTAGAGAAGTACTCAGGCCTGTGAGAGGACACACACTAATTAGGAGATGAGGTGCCTGCCTTTGAGGTACTTCCCACCTCAGAGGCTGGTGAAGGCAGCTCAAGGAAGAAGCTTGAGCCCCAGCTCAGCTGGCCGTGGTGGTGCACAACTGTAATCCAAACAGTCTGGGAGGCTGAGGCAGAAGGATTGCTAGTTGGAGCCCAGCCTGGGCAACTTAAAAACTTGGGGAGACTGTCTCAAAATAAAAAATAAAAAGGCCTGGCATTGTAGCTCAGCATGAAGACTCTGGGTTCAATCCCTGGTACCAAAAAAAGAACCCAGCTCATGCAGGGTGGGTGGGTAAGGAAGGCATTCTGGAGGTGGTAGGAGGGCAGAGGAGGAAGAAGTGAAAGAAGCAGCTTAAAGCCACTCTCAGAGTAAGGGTTTAAGGGAAGCAGCAGATAGTTGAGCTGAAAGAGCAAAGGAAATGTGGTTCATGAGTGGAGATGATGGAGATGTTCTAAAGCCACGAGCAGCCTTCCTGTCCCTGCTAGCATCTCTGCATGTGCCCAGGAGCAGGGCCTCCCACACAGGGAGCTGAAGCCTTGGGTGTGACAGGTGCACAGGGCCTCCTGGTGTTTCCCAGACCCTCCTTTAGCCTACCACCTTCCCTTTGCCCCAGAGCTGGAGACCCTGGCCTGCTAGAAGGGACCATGCCAGGTTTGAGGGCATTGCCCCAGGATTTGTGTGTGAAATGAACTCTGAGTTTGGCTGCAGGCACAGCAACTTTTCCAAAGACTGTTTTTTTCAAATGTGTTTTCCTTAGCCCTGCACATTTGTAAGAATCCTAAATATTTATGTCTCTGTGAAAATGTAATGCAACAACAAGAAAAGAAAAAAAAAGCAAACCAAGGACTTTCAAAAACTTGGCCTTTCATCTTTTAAACTTCAAGTTTTAACTTACAGCTTATTTTTAAACTTTCATCTGTTTAAAATTAAACTTTTAGGGCCAGGGATTTAGCTCAGTGGTTTCACCTCCTGCTGCGCAAGCGCAAGGACCCAAGTTCAATCCCCGGTACCAAATAAATAAATAAATAAATAAAATTAAACTTTTAATTAAGTTTCATCACTTTCCTAGTTACAAAAGTAAATGGGCTATCTCCTACATGTGTGCATTATTACCAACTACTTCAAGTAACTCCACGCCCTCCCAAGGGGCCTGACCTGCACTGTGAGACAGGTATTACGCTATGTGGAGAGTACCCTTGGATGGGCCACATACCCTCCCATTTTTAGGCCCCTTGGTGCATGGGAAATATGGACCAGCTGATGGAGGAAAAACTTGGACCACCAGTACTTCCATCCTGTTTTGCTGTGTTTCCATTATTCTTTGGATTGACTTAATCTAAACAAAGAATATTTTGAAGATAGTCTGTCTAGGAAATTCTGAACTGGTTTGGGGAGGCGCCCTATCCCACTGAACTATCCTAGTGTCTGGGCCCCTCGTGGGAGCCTCAGGAGTGAGGCCATTTGCATTCGGAGGCCAGAAGTTGATTTCCCTCTACCTTGCAGGTCTCACAGCCACTGGACCTGATGAAAGGAGGCCAGTAAGTTACTGAAGCCCTTAAATTGCAACAACAAAGGCCAGTCTTCTCTTTTCCATCAGAACAGCTGGGTTACTTGATTCAAATGCTAATAGCTGGGGCCTGAATTGGTCACTAAATGAGGGAGACATCCCCCCACCCCGCCCAAAAGACCAGAAAGTGGCTCCTTTACTGCAAGAATCTGTAGGAGTCTCCCAGGTGGACGTTCTGTGAAATTGCTTCATGGGAAACATCCCAGAGATGGGCTAGTTGGTCTCAGGAGAGAAGAGGGGACAAGAGGGGGAGGGGGAGGGAGGGGAGCTGCTCAGGGTCTGACTCAGGAAGCATTCAGCCTCTCCAAGTGAGGCCCCCAGCTTCCGGAATACTTGCTCAGGAAGGCCTGTGAACAAATCTGGGGAATCTCTGAATTTTCGGTGGGAAGAGAAAGGCCCCAGTTTTAGAGTTGGTGGCTACCACTTCAGCTCATCCTAATTCAGAAATGGCCCTACCTCCTTGCAAAGCTACATGTTTCTCAGGTCCCCAGAGAAATCTCCTGCCCAGTCCTAGGACTGGCAGCACTATGTGTGAGCTCTGCATGGCCAGGCCAAGGAGCAACCCTGAATACTTGTTTGATCCACTATAGCTTGCAACATGGGACCAGGGCCAGGGGAGCAGAGTTCAAGTCTTACTGAGGAAGCTTCCTCAGCCCAGGTCCTGGCCCTGTGCACTGGGTACACTGTATCTGTCCTAGGTCAGTGTTAGGGGGATAAGGAAGCCAATGCCCACATTTTCACACAACAGTGGGAAAGTGCACACAGAGTCAGGCAGAGGCCCTGCCAGCCCACCTACCATCCTGAGCCTCATCTCCTGGTCTGTAAGAGGGGATGGAAATAGCACCCATCTGCCCATCTCCTGAGCCTCTCCAGAATGCCAGGTGGGATGCTAAGTGTGAAGTGCTGGCCAGGGCCTGGTGAAGCAGTCCATGTTGATGACAGCTTCTCCATAGGCTGAACTCAAGGCAGGTGATGGAGAGGTTTAGAAACTTCTGTCTCACTGTTGCCATTATTACAGTACATGTCTTATCAGTATTCAGCACTGCATGTCCCTCATGGCTCACAAATGTGTCCAATGTGACTTTACCCCACCAGTATGCCCAAGGAGTATTTAAACATGGTACCAAACCTCCCACAGCTCCTTGTGTGAGTGCCCTGGGACAGCCAGTTCTATTTAGTCAGTACATGCATGTTTGTCAGGCTCAATGAAAGCTAAGTTTAATCCTTGGGAGGTGGAGGACAAAAAATTACAGTGGAGATCACAAGTGTTGGAGAGATACATTCATTACTAGTATGTGCTGAAATGTGAAAAAAACCTTAAAACACTGCAGATTTGCACTTTCTATAGTTATATAATAAAATACATGAGTTTATTTTCAGTTATAATCTAGAGGTTAAACAAAGAAACATAACATCATCTACTGAGATTCATGGTATCTCTCATAGACAATACAATATTAACTGTCACACACCCTTACCAAACATGTTATAACCAAACTGACAGCTTAAACAATATGGCTTAACATTAGTCATGTACAACTGCATGGCTACTCATGACTTTGAACCCAAGTACTCTATATATGTAACAGTACTTAAGAAAAGTCTTTGCTTGTATCTCTCAGATCAGCAGAGACCTTCTGAGGGTTAAGTTTACATGAGTAACGCCCTTTTACAATGTCCACTCAGGAGCGAAGACAATGATCCCTTCTCCCTCTGCTCCAGCTTCTGCTTCCTAAATTTCTTGACAGTCTGTAAGGGTATGGGTTACTTCTGTTTACTTTTTATGTTTACACTATGTCAGGTTCTTTCCTGTGATGACATTTTATGTTTTTATTTTTCTAAGAAATAATTTTAGCCCCACTTTATAGGGTAGCAATTCTTTAATATTTCTATGTAAAATGATTGAAGATAACTGTGAAAAGACATTTAAAATACACATTAAGAAATTATCTTAAATATCTTATTAAGAAATTATCTAATTAAGAAATTATCTTAATT